AGGTACAATGGAGGATCAAAAATGACAATGTCTAGTGAAAGTAATTTGGCGAGTTTTAGTACTAGAAAATTTAAACCTATGAGTGGTGGCCCAATTGGAAACACGGTTGACCACATGCTGGAGAGAGATTACAATGAGGTGACAGTCAGCGCCAGCACAAGCTATAGACAAGTCATCAACATAGAGCGATGGCCAAATATTGGATGGAAGAATAGAGGCCAGATCATTAATAGCCAGGAGAAAAAGTGTTGTGCTCAGAACACACCCCTGGGGGACACCTTCAGCTTGGACAAAGTCTAGGGAGGGCATATTATTAACCCAAACATGGAAATGTTTTTCAGTTAAGAAGTTTCTTTGGAAAAATGGTAGATTGCCTCAGAGGCCTAAGGAGTGGGCCTGGGCCCAGATATTATACCTCTTAAGTTGTGTCATATGCCTTATCAAGGTCAAAAAAAATGGCAATAACTGAATGGTTATTGGCAAAGGCATTATGGACATATGTATCTAAGAGTAGTAAGGGGTCAATGGTAGAACGGCCCTTGCAAAAGCCATATTGACTAGTGGAGAGACTGTTGTGTGTCTCTATATACCACATCAAACGTTTATTTACTAGACGTTCAATCACCTTGCAAACTGCACTGGTAAAAGCAATGGGACGTCCTGTAGTAGCCGGTTTGTGGAAAGGGAGAACAATGGCAGATTTCTACAACTGGGGAACAACTCCTTGTGACCAAATAAGATTAAAGAGTCGTAAGAGGACTGCAAGGGCTGACCGATGTAAATACTATAGCATACAAATATGAATGTCGTCAGGCCCTGCTGCTGATGACCAGCAAGGTGAGTGTCGCCTCCAGTTCCAGAAGTGTAAAAGGCACATTATAAGATTCTTCTCTGATAGAAGAAAAGTTTAAGGGCTCTAACTCTCTGGCAGACTTTGAGGAATGAAACGAAGGGCATAGATGAAGCCCCTGAGAGATACGGAAAAGATTATTATTATTATTATTATTATTATAATCAAAAAGAAGCGCTAAGCCACAAGGGCTATACAGATGATTACCAATTTCGGTGACAACATCAAGAGGATTTGCAATATCAACACTGGCAACCTGAAATAAAGGAGCTGGGTCGGGAGAGTATTTACCACTCAGTTTCCGTACTTTTCTCCAGACTGCACTCATAGAGGAAGCAGAAGTGATGGTAGAAACATAATCCCACCAGCAAGTGTGTTTAGCATCACTGATGACATGGCGAGTGACTGCTCTCTTCTGCTTAAAATCAAGGAGTCTCTCTCTGGTTCTATTGTACCGGTACCTGCCCCATGCAGCACGTTTCAAACATACTGCCCGAGCACAAGCAGGAGACCACCAAGGCATGCACTTCTGAGAATGCCTGTCCAAAGTTTGGGGTAAAGAATGTGAAGCTGCGGTTAAAACTGAGGTTGAGGTGTAAAAGCTCATCAATGGTGGACAAATAAGGAACCTCACTAAAAGCAGTTAGATGCAAGTAAAGGTCCCAATTTGCTCGGTCAAATTGCCAGCGTGGGCTACAAGGAGGTGGTGAATAGGAAGAAGTAAGGACGATTGGAAAATGATCACTCTCATGTGAGTCCAGGACAGACCAGGTGAAGTCTAGTACAGTTGAGGAGGAGCAGACCAAGAGATCAATGCATGAGAGAGAATGAGTACGAGGATCAAAATGGGTGGGAGCACCCGTATTTAAAATATGGAGGGGGAGAGAAACGAGAAAAGCCTCCAACTGAATGCCGCAAGAGTCACAGCGAGACCCCCAGAGGAAATGGTGGGCATTAAAATCACCAAGTAATAGAAGTGGTGGCAGTAAGGAAGAAATCAGAAATGCAACATCTGGGATAATGCCTGAGAAGGAGAGAGATACAAAGAACAGATTATATACCACTTATTCAAGTAGATACAGGCTGCAGTGTAATGCAGCGAAGTATGAACAAAGAGCTGATGGTATGGAATACCACTGCATATAAGAAGTGCACCTTCATTAAAGGATCTATCGGGAAAAGGATCTGATGAATGTAAGAAATCATAGCCCGAGATGGGATGAAAAACAGCAGAGCATAATTTGGGTTCTTGTAAACAAATACAAACAGGGGAAAACTGGGAGAGCAATACCTGAAGCTCATCCTGGTTACCTCTGAGGCCTCGGATATTCCACTGTAAGTAAGCCATGATTTGCAAAGAGAAAGATACAAAAAATCTGAAGGTAGAGGTATCTACAGACTAGTAGGGTTAGAAAAGTCCACACACGGAGGCAGCAGAAAACTTGTAAGCAGGATGCTGCAAAGAAAGGAGTTGTGCAGATGGAGAAGAGTGAAGAGGAGGAACAGGAGGTGGATCAGTGTCCATCAAAGGTCTGATCACTCAATATATTCTGAGATATCTTCAAGTGTTTCAGAGGACAAGGACATTGTATGTGGTACAATATTGGAGATGGAAGGATGAGGGTGAGTAAAGATCGGGGTGACGATAGACTGTACCAAAGGGAGAATGAAAGGGTAGAGGGAACTGGGGAAGAAACTTGAGAGGGGACAGGAGAGGACATGACCTGGGAGGGGGCAGAAGAGGAAGAAACTTGGGACAGGACAAGAGAAGAAGGTACTGTATGAGGAGGATGAACCTCCACACTCGTAACAGAGCCAGTTAGAGGTGAAGAACCAGGTAAAGAGACTGGGAAGGAAAAATGTGCAGGATGCAGAAGGGAAGGAGTGGTTAAAGGAGATTTTAACAATGGGGATGTTTTGGACTTCAGAGAAGGAGAGGGGCAATGAGGAGTAGGTGTTGTATGAGGTCTTGTAAACACACAAACTTATGAGTGAGAAGAGGAAGAGATGAGAACAGAATGAGGTGCCGAGATAGTGACTTCTGTCCAGGACAGCAAAAGAATTAGAAACAGGGGTGACTACAGGAATGGGTGATCATAGAGGAGGCTGCAAAAGTTGGAACCCCAGAGGAGGGGAAGACGTTTAGTAACTCAGGAATAAGAAATACAGGGAAGTTTCCCTTGGAGGCGTAGACGAGAGACTGCCATAGCATATGGAAGGCCTTCTGCCTCTTTGAGACAATGCATTTCACACTCATTTAAGTAAACTAGGCAGCAGCAAGAGTAAGATGGGCAAGCCTCATGATAATTAAGGCAAGAGGGAGGTAGACTACAAGATATATTGGTATGGTCGTTGGCACCACAGACTGGGCATTCGGCCATGGACCTACAATATTTTGCTGGATGACCAAAACGCCACCGTTTTCTACACTGTTGCGGTGTAGGGATCACCTTTCGTACTTGTAAATGGTGTCCCGCTATATATACAGAGGACGGAAGCTCATGGCAGTCAAAAGTCAAGCGAGCTACATTGCAAGGGTATTGTCTCCGCCTGCAGGCAGGGAGGACATAATGTCTGCTTTGAGGATTGGGAGGCCTTGGAGTACTAGCTGTTCCAGAATGTTATCACCACATGTCTGGATATTCTGTTGGAAAATGGTATGGGGCAGAATGACAGTACCAAGAAGTGAGGGAATGACGTTTTCCAATAGTTACAGGAATAGTATCGATAGTTGTAAGGAGAAAAAGATAATGAGCTTGGTTAACATTCTGGACAGTGATGCGTGTACCGCTCGAGAGCATGAAAAGATGCATGTTTACCAACATGGTGTAGGAGCGCCTCACCAATACTATGGTCAGAAAGATAGGCAGTAGAAGTCGGTTGTAGAGTAAAAAACTTAGTCGATTGAGTATTTTGAAATATAGTGTGTAAAGGGAATGCATGACGTGCCAGTCATTTCTGAGAAGAATGAGAGGGAAGCGAAGAAGTATCATCAGGTAATGGTCTTGGGTGTTTAGGTGTGGGACCGGAGTGGGTCCGATGTGGTATGGGCAGGTGATCGGAAAACTGTCGCACCGTAGAGGGAGAAGCTGGAAGCAATGTCAAAGAAGAGCAGAGGTCTGATGTATCGAAGGAATCAGTTGAAACCCCGGTACCTGAGGCGGGTGACAAAATGGCTCCAGCAAAAGGTACAGGGTCATTAGGAATGTACGAAGAGTGGTCAAATAACGAGGCAGGGTTGGAATAGGGTGCAGTATCGGTAAGGAGCCCGGGGGAGATGCAGGTTCATGGATTTGGGACTCCATGGTTATGCCATTCTTTCTTGTTTTGTAGAAAAAAAAGAAAAAAAGAAAAAAAAAAAAAAAGGAGGAATGTGGAGGAATAGCTCCTTGGAGGCAAAAAAGGGCCATAAATCCTCCTCTGCACCCAAAAGAACCCAAGCACCACAAGTAGTGCAGATGCAGCATGGAACCCATGCCATACCCTACCCTTCATGCCAGTAACAAGCAATCCGGGATAACAACCTCACATCCATCGAGCCACCTCGGTGGACAAGAGAGAGAGGGCGACCAGACACCCACCACAAAGCATACCTCCTTCAGCCACCATCCCCTGGAATCCGACAGACAGCCTCCAGAGATATGCCTGTCACCCGAAAGACACCCAAAGCCACCCCTCAGGAGACTGGAGAGGGATCGAGACACCTCCAGGTGATCCAGATTTTACGGCAAACTACACCAGTGCCAATGGAATGGGATGGACCCTGGTACCCTTCCCCCTACCTAGGAACTAGAGTGTCTGTGGGAAGAATCCCAAAGGCTGAAAATAGGAAGGGAATAGGGGAGAGATGGGGGAGGAGGAGAAAAGGGAGGATGGAATAGGGAAGGGGGTATGGGAGGGTAATTAGGTTTGGTCTGAGGAAGGAGACCAAAAGATCTAATTCCTCAGACCAAGTGCCTCTTCACCATGCCAAGGAGCCCCCCTTGTAGAGGCTAAATGCATCATGATTGTTGCATTGGGAGATTCAGATTTGTAAGAATTTTTCTTTGCATTTCTGGTACAATTTCTTTTCAAATCTGCTCAATGTATTGTGATTTACCTTCAATGTACTAGAATTGAGTATCAATGTTTGTAAATAGAAACCATGAAATATTAAGCAAACTGTTTATTAAGTTGCCACAATACACAAAAATAAAAATAAAATTGGTGGTAAACAAGCCCTTACTTCCACTTGTATCGTCATAAATAAAAAATGATTTGTATTTATTATAATTCTGATGAGGACATTATCAGAACTGTAACTAATGTCTCAGAAGAAGCATTAACTACAGTGAGAATACAGTAACAATATTTTAAGTGACCAGCATATACATATACCAGTAGGTAATTAGTTTTAAATTCTGAAGAGATTAGTAGTACAGTACAAGAATTCTTGGGATTCACACTAATTGCACTGAATATACAGCAATCAATGAATTGCATGAGAAAACTCAAACGTCTTTTCAAATGCATTTTATCCAAATTATTTCTGCATCTAAACCTATACAATATACTAGATATATCAATAAATAAGGCCTTAACAATGAGCTCTGAGAATTTCTCAACTTATTTCTTGCTATTGCTATACAACTTTACCTGGATATGTAAAGAAACAAGATATCTAAAAAAAGGTAATTAAACATGAGATATTTTAATTAAGGAAAAGTTCAAGTAACTAAACAAGCATGTAATGCACACACAAAAAAGTCTGGATGCAATGTATTCAAGGACACCAAATGATAGGAAACTGCACTTTATGTTCAGGGAAGGAAACTGTACTGATGGCTACCTCACTTTCCTGCTTTTATTATTTATACACAAGATGTATTATGTAATTATCTAATATGATGCCTTATCCCAATAAATTATTGCACACACACATTTATCATTCAACTCCATGGGGTAGTGGAACATAATTTTTCCTCCCTAAGCCATGCGTGTCGTAAAAGGCGACTAAAATGCCAGAGCAAGGGACTAGTAACCCCTTTTCCTGTATACATTACTAAATTTAAAAAGAGAAACTTTCATTTTTCTTTTTAGGTCACCCTGCCTTGGTGGGATGTGGCCAGTTCGTTGAAAAAAAAAATTATTCATGGTATAAGATACAAGGTACTATGTACAGTAGGTGACAATATCACACCGAGTTTTCAAAATATTCAAAATATTGTGTTTTTCGTTGATATGCTCCTACTATATCACTGTCCATGAATGTATTGTATAGGTTGTAAATTAGCTTCATTAATAGCCAGGTATAGCTGAAAACAATAATGACTAGTTATGATACTTCTGAATGCCAAGAAAATTAATTTTCTGGCAAGTACACTCAAACATGTCAATAAGAACAAAGATTCATAATAAATGATAACATATTTTATGAAGATAATATATGGTACATTTCAGAATATAATTTTTCAATACCTTGAAATAAAATGACCAATTACCTACAGTAACTAATTTAAAGACTAATTTTTTTATTTCATAATTAGTAAGTAGTGAAGATTTTCATATAATGATAATCATTAATTTTTTAATATTAAACTGTACCATATTTTTGCACTACAAAATTTGGTACAATATTTTATTATACAAACTGTAATAGCAATGGTGATCAGTACTGCATGCAGATTGCCACAAACATGTTGAAAGATAAACCTTTATAGCATAATTATCAATACTTCTTTATCATATACAGCAAATTCACTTATTATTAAATAACAATGATTAAAAGTATTTAGCTCTTTGCACATAAATATAAGAATATAAATTACAAAACTGGGTGCATCCAGAAACACACGAGGTAAATGTAAAGAAAATTAAAGAGCAATAGGGAAGGTGTTAAAAATGGTAGACATAAGATTCTTATACTATATGTTTATACCATTCAATGATATAGCAAAGGAAATCAGTACAATGAAGTTAGAAAGAGACTGTAATCCCATTATTTTTTATGTGGATAAACTTTTTTTTTTTTGTAAACAGTACAGCTAAAAATATTTAATATTTCTTCTGTGCAATATTATGAAATTGTGGGTACTTCATAACACCATGTTATAAACACAAAAGAACTGGCTTTAAATCATAGTCTGCATTTTTATGACATAGGTACATTACCCTATCTATCTGAATTAACATTTTATAAATGCTGTACAAAATAATCTTTTTTAGCCAACATGACTAAATACTATTAATTTCAGAAAGTTCCAAAAAATCTGCTATAAAGTAGAAAAGAGAAAACTATATGTAGTACTTCTCTGAATTTTCCATACAATTCCACATCTCAACACATTATATTTTATCCAAAATAAACATTTACCAAAGGATCTGATAAAGTATGAAAATTCTTCACAGTATTAAAGTTTACTTAAGTGACAATGGCAATACCTGTACTATCATGCCTAGCACTGTAAAACAAAAATTAACAAAATATGATAAATGGTTTTATAGAGTACGGCAATTGATGTTAAGGTATCTAAAACCATATAGGTATCACAGTAAAAGTAAAGCAGGGAATCTACTGGACCAACAGATTTTGGTTACTCAGTACAAAATTTCTCAAGTTACTTGAAACAGGTTGAATAATTACAAACTGTTTCATATTCTCTACCTTATATGACATTTGGTGTTGTTGAACCTAAATTACAATACATATTTGTTAACCCCTTTCACTGTTTAGACCCTTAAAATTTTGGCCACATTTAAAAAAAAAAAATGCTTTTTCTTCTGAAATGCCTGAGAAGGAAATGACACCAAAAATATAAAATGTGATGGAAAACTTACAGAATTATGTAGGTGCAAATTTAACAGTATGAGCACAATTTACACATCAGCAATTTTGCCAACTGAATCCTATTTTAAGCCAATTCTGCAGATAAATTTAACCAAATTCTTAGCTATTTTGCTAGAATTCCTTCCATTCTATCAACTGAACATAAGAAACTGGCTATTCAATTATAAAAAAAACTGCCTTATAAAATGCACAGAAGCTGGAAATTTCAACAATTTTACACTAAATTAAAAAAAATAAAATTAAAAAGTCCAAAATAAACACTGTACACATTCTAAGCACTAAAACATTTCCTCTGTTCACTAATCCTATCCCCAGATCTCTCTTATATTACGCTTGCCTTCCATGCACCATGTGGGGCCGGATTCTTTTTTTTACTATGCACTCAACACACAGACCCATTCTCTCACGTTTGGGCCAAAATTTACTGCTCACAGCTTATCTGAGAGAGCTAAGTACATGATGTTGATCTAAGTGAGGGGACCCTGGTGTCAATAACACACACCTACCTGACAGACAGTGAATGAATTAAGAATTTTTACTGACCAAAAAACTGTGCATAATAGTAAGCTTTTGCAGAAAATTATGACTGCGTGATTATTAAACTTTTTAACTTATACCATGTCCTATATTGTTTTTTGCAAATTATTTTAGAGTAAAACACTACATTATCTGAACAGTGAAATATTATCTATTTCTTTACAGTCATATAGGTAAAAACATACTTTACCTTTATTAGTATTGTAATAACAATGGATTAACAATTAAATTTGTTGCTAATAGCAAGCAGTTTTGTTGTAATGGCATGAGATACAGTGGCAAAATGCAGGTCATTATCATTATCTCTTACTAGATACAGTACTTACATTGTTATCAATGCTCAGGTTATTTCTATTGCACTTTTAATATGTTAAATGCATGAAATGAATCAATAGAGAATGGAGTAAGTTTTGTGTGAAGACAATGTAAAACCAAAACAGGTTTATATGTACCTGATAAATCACAATATTCCTTGCAAATTACTCTCTATTGATTCATTGCTTAAAGGCCATCCAGTAATTATTTTTGCATAGCTTAGTTTTTGCATATCTAGGTTTTTGTCAAACCATGAAATAAATAAACTATTTAAAATGTTTTGTGTTATAAATATTGTTCATTTTTTTCCATTCTTCAAGATGGAAGTTTGGCAAAAAATCCTATCCTACATGCTTCATACAATGGCCATCTTAAACCTATCAAGGTTTGATAATATGTTGGTTCAAAATTTACAGTGCAATTTACTGTTAACATATGCTACCCAACGAATAAAGTAAAGTCCACCTACAACAAGAATACAGAATACATGTAACGGGGAAAAGTTTTTACTTATGCGAAATTACTGCAAACTATAATGTGACATAAAATGTCAATAAAGAAAAAAATAATGGATAATAAAATCATAGTAGCAATGAAGAATAAAAACTCTGAAGGACAGCTTTTTATCAGATCCTATGGGATACATCACTGAGTAATGCTTCACTGAGTAATGGCAGAAGAGAAACCTCAGGGGGGTGAAATGGCTCATGAAATTCTGTTTCTTGTACTAATGCTTCCAGAACAAATGAGATGAGGTATGGGCTCTATTATTTATGAAGGGCTTTTTCTAATTAAAAATGTATATACAGTGGAACCTCAGCTTACGAGTGCTCAATCATACGAGTTTTTCGAGATATGAGCCATCGCTCGATCGATTTTTTGCTGAGTTACGAGCCAAAATCCAAGTTGCGAGCAACCTTCCCATTCAAGGGAGGTTCCTTGATGCTGGTGAGGGGATCTTGATCTAGGGAATTGGATCTGTGCTCCAGTTCCTTAACTTAAGCATGAATACCTTCCAGCCCCTCCCCCCCACAGGCGCTGTATAATCCTATGAGTTTTGCGCTTCCCCATTAAAATAACAATAATAACAAGCGAGCTTCAGAATGCTGCCACTAATTGGCGCAGCAAACGCCACAACATCCCTCAGCAGTACATATGTTTACCTCGCCGTGGAAGCATTTCTCTTGTGTTTTGCTTGCATTTTGTGCAGTTATTTTGCCAAATTTCTTTTTTCTAATCATGGGTCCTAAGAAAGTAAGCGCAAAGGACAGTGCTGAGAAGAAAAAGAGGATGATATCCATGGAATTAAAGCATGAAATCATAGATAAGCACAAGCGAGGTGTGTAGGTTGTGGACTTGGCCGGGCAGTACTACAAGCGTAGTACTTCAACCATATGTATGATACTAAATCAAGAGGAGTTGATAAAGGCTATAGTTCCAACCAAGGGTGTTACAATAATTTCTAAGCTGTGGACATCTGTCCATGAAAAGATGGAGAAGCTGCTGTTAACGTGGCTGACGGAAAAACAGCTCACAGGAGATACTGTGACAGAGGGTATCCTCTGTCACAGTATCTCTTGCGAGAGGATTTCAGAGTTTATTGAAAAGAAACACCCAGAGAAAGTTGCAACTGGTCATGTGTCGCAGCTATATAATGACACTTGCCTAACTCATTTCCGAAATATTCTGAAAGGGAGGATGAAACAAACCTCCTTGGACAGGTTTTTAATTGAGACGTCCTGCAGATGAAAGTGAGGAAAGCATGGAGAAAAAGCCAAAAATCAGGGAAAAGTGAAGTGAAAAAAATAAAAGCCAAATTGTAGCAGTTAAGTTCAGCGATAATGTGTAGCATTGAGAGTGTAGCAAGTAAGTTAAGCGATTGAGTGATAGAAAAAGGATGAAATGAAATGAACTCCTCCAATGTTATTGTTGTTGTTTACAGGGCCACTGATAGCATACGCTGCTCTGCCTATCTTTTCCACCCCCAACCTCCGCCTGCATCTCTTCTGCAAGGTAAATATGTATGTACACTTTCTAAAGCCTGTTTATTTCTTTATGTTCTCTATTATGTTTTATTACATTTTTATACAATATTTCTTATTTATAAACACATTGTTTCAGTGTCTTCCTTATGAAACTAATGATGTAGTGCAGTTAGCCTCACAAACACTCCATTTTCTCTTACAATAACAGCATGGTAAGATATGGTCAGAGTGGGAAGCGGGAATGGTTGCCACTACTCATCCCATAATGACATATTTTATTCATTCTAGAGTAAATATCATGTTTCTATGTTATTTATATTGTTTATTATGTTAATTGTGATACATAAATAAGCTGTAGAGTTGATATTAGCGTTATATTGAAGTATTTTGTCCTGCCTCCTGAGAGCAGGAATTCCGCTGGAATGGATTAATGGCATTTCAATTAATTAAATGAGGAAAATTGATTTGATATATGAGCAAACTGAGTTATGAGCTAGGTCATGGAATGGATTAAACTCGTAAGTCGAGGTTCCACTGTACAGTGGAACCTCGGTACTCTAACAGCTCCCTACTTGAACAAAGCTCAGCAATTGACCAAACACGCATGACCTGCCAGAACCTCGCTGTAAACTATTTCACATTTCTTCACATATTTTGGTGATTTTTTATATTATTTATATAAATAAGTCACCATGAGACCTACGAAGATTAGTGATAACAGCCAACCAAAAAGAAAATTAGTTGGGAAAAATTCGTTCGATACTCAAACAGATCAGCACTCAAACAGCCTTCTGGAATGAATTAAGTTTGAGTACTGAGGTTCCACTGTACTACACCATGTCTTTTTAATTGTATGTATGTGTAATTATAAGTAAGAATGCATGTGTGGAAATGAAGTGGTTATATATTTTTAAATTCTGAGTGGACAAGTGACCACTGTTTAGAAGATCTTGTATATGATAGAGGAGTGGAATAATTAAATGACATGAGCCAAGGCGGCAACAAATAAAAAGGCTACTTAGTCGAGGCATTCCTGTACTGTACCAGCACATGTACTAATGTACAGAACATGTACTAATTAGTATACCATATTGTAAATAACCTGTAGTCCTTGTCCAATCATTTACTTTTGTGTGTAGCCATGTTATTTACAATAGGTGTAACTAAAGTATTTGGGCAAATTAAAATACAGTCTCAAGTAACCAGAAAATCTGCATATCTGGAGAGTCCTCAATCCTGTTCTTTGAGAATACAGGGTGCTTTATATTACAATTTGTAAAGAAAACCAACAAAACAATTAAACACCATAAATAGTAATGCGAGTGTGAACCAGAAATGTGTAATTGTTTTACACGATGGAAGGATTACTGGTGTCCTTTTTTTTTTTTGTCTAATAAATATGCAGGATAACAGGTACATCTTGGTACCTCTACTTATGCTTAGGTCATGCTACACACGCATGTACATGCATATGTTTGCAAGCCCATCTGGGTTTTCTTCTATTTCCTTAATAGTTCTTGTTCTTCTTTATTTCCTCTTATTTCCATAGAAAAGTGGAAAAGAATTCTTCCTCTGTAAGCCATGTGTGTCATAAGAGGTGACTAAAATGCCAGGAGCAAGGGGTTAGTAACCCCTTCTGTATAAATTAACAAATGCAAAAAGAAAAACTTTCGTTTTTATTTTTATTCACCCTGTAATATTAAAAGACAATAGTAATGCTCAGAATAAAATGTTAATATGATATACATCTAGGAATTTCTATTAAATGAAATAATTAACAGGCAAAAGCCTGTTAACCCTTTGACTGTCGCGGCTGTATATATAAGTCTTACGAGGTACCGTGTTTGACGTATATATACTCATAAATTCTAGAGGCTTCAAATCAAGAAGGAGAAAGCTGGTAGGCCCACATGTGAGAATGGGTCTGTGTGGTCAGTGTGCACCATATAAAAAAAATCCTGGAGCAAGCAGTGCATGATAAGAAAAAACTCCAACCGTTTTTTTTAATTAAAATGCCGAATTTGTGGTCTATTTTCGTATAGTATTTATGGTTGTATACTCGTTTTCTTGGTCTCATTTAATAGAATGGAAAACATATTATAGAAATAGAGGTGATTCTGATTGATTTTACTATAAAAAGAACGTGGAAATGGAGCTCAAAGTAGGGAAATGTTTAATTTTTGCCGAAGTTCAAAAGTAAACAAATGATGTCGTTTTCCAATAAATGTCCAACTAGCCATTCTAATATGCAGTCATGAATGGGTTGATGTTGTTTATAGAATTATTACAGTATTGCAGTAGTTTGCATAATAGTAAATCTTCTATTTTTTGTTTGAATAAAAATTCAAAATAGAAAGCAAGAGTAATATCAGAGGGGCCTGCAGACATGACTGATGAACAAAGATGTTATTTTAGAGCCAGGAATATCTGCATTGTTCATTCTGGACCTTATTTTGAAATTGTCATATTTTTTAATTTGTCTGAAATTGGCCAAATTACAAATTTCTGACCACGTTATTGGGTAGTTGAAATTGGTAAATGGGCAGTTTCTTGTACTCAATCGATAGAAAAAAATGGAGTTCTAAAAAAATAGCTATGAGTTTGGTCGACAGGAACAATGCAATTAGCCGAAAATAGGGCTCAAATTGGGCGAAATCTCCGATTTGTAGATATTGCCGAGGTCGCTAACTTCGCGAGACTGTAATTCCATCAGTTTTCCATCAAATTTCTTTTTTTTGGTGTCATTACAGTCAGGAAAAGATTCTCTATCATTTCATAAGAAAAAATATGTACATTTTTTTTTAAATTTTGCGATACCAGGAGACACCTCAGGATTGGGGGTTGCGACAGTCAAGGGGTTAACTGAAATGCAATTAGTAATGTATAAAAGGTAATTAATGTATACCTGGAAGGTAATTAACCCTTTCAGGGTCCAAGGCCAAAATCTGAAGGGGGTGCCCCAGTATCCAAGAAATTTTGAAAGAATGGAGGAAAAAAAAAAAAAAAATCTTACAGAATTAAAGATAATATTTTTGTGTAAGGTAATAAAAAAAAATTTTCTGATCAGTACTTACCAAGATACAGCGGCAGGAAGTTGACCCAAAATGACCGGGTGGCGGCAACATCAGGACTTCCACAAATTCACATTTTTTTATTTTACGTTTTTTATACATTTTCTTTTCCTTTCTAAGTTTTTTTCTTTTTCTAGTAACATTTGTGGCCTGTGAGACCAATATAATGTATATTGTATAAGTGTACACTCGTTGTAATCAACACAATAACTGCACTAATTTGTTTATCATTATATTGCTTACACAACTTGTTTACAAGTTTATTGTAAACAAAATGACGAAAATATTAGTGCGGTTATTGTGTTGAATACAACAGTACCATATAGTACATGGTACAATGGTACCATAGGGTGCAATGGTACCATATGGTATAATGGCACCATATGATACAATGGTACCATATGGTAGAATATGGTACAATGGCACCATTTGGTACAATGGTACCATATGATACAAGGTACCATATGATAATGGTACCATATGGTGCAATGGTACTATATGGTACCATTGTACCATATGGCACTGTTGTAATCAACACAATAAACACACTAATATTTTCATCATTATTTTGTTTACAATAATTGTTTACAACAAAAATATGCAAAAATGTTGTATATTAGTAATGTTCTATTATATACAACTGTACAGCCACTCCACATGTTCCTTGAGGTGGATGACAAAGCGCTTTGTCTTGGAAACTGCAGAGTCACTAGCTAGCTTAAGTCTTCACTCACTCAGTCTTGGCTGGTGCCTGGTGGCATCAACATCTCCAACTGACCATATGGTACATGGTATCATATGTTACAGGGTACCATATGGTACATTGTACTATATGGTATAGGGTACCATACAGTACAGGATACCATATGGTGCAGGGTACCATATGATGCAGGGTACCATATGGTGCAGGGTACCATATGGTGCAGGGTACCATATGGTGCAGGGTACCATATGGTGCAGGGTACCATATGGTGCAGGGTACCATATGGTACAGGACACCATATGGTACAGATACAGGGATCCCTATGGAAATAAGTCACCCTGACTTTTTTGGGTTATCCTACGAGTTTATACATATGCTGCTATGTATGATAATCTATGTAACTGTAATTGTGTACACCTGAATAAACTTACTCAAGCAGATGTGGCATCGTAAGTTTATTTAGTTATACACAAATAAAGTTACATAGATTATCATACATAGCAGCATATGTTTGGAGAACCTAGGATAACCAAATAAAGTCAAACAGACTTATTTTCATTAGGGTCCCTGTACCATGTACAATATGGTATAATGTAACATATGGTACAATGGACTATATGGTACATTGTACCATATGATATTGTATGACATGGCACCATTGTACCATATGGTACAATGGTACCATGGTACAATGGTACCATATGGTTCAAAAC